TTCCCCTAAAACTGAAAGTTAAGGGCACTTATTCTGTCTCCCAAGTCACTATAGGCAACAGTTTTTCCAGTTGCTTTTCCAAAGTATAAAATGGATAACTGGTTTCTTATATATCCCGGCCTCTGATACTGACCATCTTGTTGCCCAACAATGAAACCAGTGCCATATATTATAGCTTTATTTTAAAGCAATTTGATGGTAATACCAATTGCTTTATTAGATAGTGTGGACAAAAAGGGGCCACATGCCAACCTGACAAGCTCAGGAAAGGCCTGCATGGTGGTCTTGCATACTCAAGAGACCCAAAGGAACCACAAAGGATGGTCTGAAATTAAAACTTTAACTAAAAGCATTTTATTGTAGATAGTCATATCCTAGGCTGGTTTCTTCCCTGACAAAGGTCAAGTTTGATCTTAACTGAACCTATTGTCTTTTTGCATTTAAAATAACATGCCTTTTGAATGTCGAGGTAACTTGTAACTTCCCTTTTTCTGAACCCCTTTGGGCACAACCAATGCACCAGGGTGGAGACCACAAATTCCCTCATTGTTAGTTTATCGTGTTGTTTGTTGACTGTTAACTATGTAGAAGAAGCATGTGTCTATCATTTTACTTTCTTTTTAAATTTATTGTCTAAAGTTTTACATATGTCTCCTTTTTTCCCAATATCATTTTACTTTTTATCCAATCCCAGAGGTTCCCCCCGCTCCCCTGCTTTGCTTTCTCCTGGTTCCCTAATCTATCACCAATGGATTTCATGTAACACACTTAAGTCTCCTCCTTCGATTGTAATTTATAAAACAAGGTGAAAAACTCCCATTATCTCAATCCGTTGAGATTCTGCTTCTAGATAGTTTGGCTCAAATAAACTCACAAAGATTCTTTACAGGTTTGAATGTTTCTTACATTAACATCAGGATAGACCAAGGTATGTGTTAGTTAATGTATCCTCACATCATAGTGGTTTAATGCAATAACAATTTATTTCTCATTTATATATCGGTTGAAAATGGATTGGGCAGCCTCTCCATGTCAGAGTGGTCCCATGTGGGAACCCTGGCTTTCTAGGTTGCCACAGAAGACAAAGAGAGAGCTAGAACACTGCACAGGATACTTTTTAAAAGCCAAGACTGGAAGGAGGGTTACTTCACTGTTGCTTACACATAACACTGTCTCTGCTACAGGCACTGCAAGCTACTGATTTCACGATGTATTAGCCATGGGACATTAGGCAAGTGACATAACCTCTGTGTGCTTCAGTTTTCTTCTCTGTAAAATGGGGATAATGAAAGGGTAACTACATTGGAGGGTGATAGGTCTATATATATTAGATCTAATTAGAACAAGCCTGGTGTACAGTAAGTGCGATATAAGGTTATGGAAGTGTTACATAGCAAATTTGAAATGTCAGTATGGAGCACACCAGGATAATTAGCAAATGTGCTATTTTATCGTTAGTCTAATGACTAGGAAGTCAGATCATTTTTAAACCCTAGCCCACATGACTCTCAGGCCAAAATAATGCATATCTTCATATCTCATTTTTATGACCTTTTATTTCAGCTCAATTTGAGTTTGTATGGGAGTTTTTAGAGTGTGTGGGAAGCAATGGGATGAAACACTAGTGAAAGTTTTTCAGATGGAGCTAATCTGGTTATCACTCAAGAAATAATCTTCCTAAGGGCTACTGAGAACTTACCTGATTAATGACTGCCACATTTACCAGGAAGTGAGTCTGTATGAGAAAATTTTGTCTTTCATTCATAAAATAATTTGTTCATTTTCCAAAACATAATAAGTATTAAGTATATGCCAGGCACTTCGTTAAACAAAAAGCTATAAATAATTGATTCTCCCTGGAGCAGTAGAAGCAGATTGTGTGCCTATCAAGTAGAATTTATTATTATCCAAGTTTTTATAAAGAATAAATTAAAATTTTAAAAAGTACCAGAGATACTCATCTTTCTCCCCTTAGCATGGAAAATGATGGAGTCAAGATTTGCATCCGGGACTCTCATGCTAGCACCCACACTCTTTATTTCTCCAGCATGTTAGTCAGGGTGCTGGCAGGAAACAGCTGGTACACAGAAAATGCATAAGGCGAGTTCTAAAAAGGGACTATGAACCAAAATGTGGGCAAAGTAGGGGGGAGCACAGGGAGAATATAATACACTAGGGCTGATAGCAACTGAACACTGTTCATACCTGTGGCCCTGAAAGGAAAGACAGTGTGGTTACCAGAAGCCAGAGTGACAAGGGAAAGAATGTGAGGGATGCAGCCTGTCCTATGTGATCCCACAGGGAAGGAACTGGGACAATAAATACTCAATAGTTCCCTCCCTTTGATTTCCTGCCAGGGATTCTCACTGGCTGGAACCAGTAGAAGCTGGAGAGCCAGGGAGCCCACTGATGAATAAGTGCTTCTAGTTTAGCCTCCTGAAGAACAGAAGACAATGAGAAAGGAGACAGAAGAGTAAATTTGAGGGGGCACCAGAAGATAGCCAAGGTGGGTCATGGAGGAGAATGTGTCTGAGGAGGCTAACAAGATCACCATCAATCGCTTTAACAATGGTGCGCCTACCTAATTATACAGTTAACAAAATTGTATTGGTCAAGATTTTACTTAATTTTCACAATCAACTTTCTTTTACTATATACCTCAGTTCATTAATATTTCATTATTTTATTACAGTAATAAATGAACTGGTAAACACAGGTTTGGGAACAAACAGACTGGACTCAGTAAGCACTTTATCAACAGGTGACAGGTGAAGCGTGCAGGTATAACCCAGATGCCCACCCTCTGCAAGAAGCAAGTGGGCAGAGGAAAGGGTCACTGTGAAGTACCGAATGGTGAGATGCATCAGTGAAACCAACAAATCAGATTTAAAGGGCAGAGAAGAGAGCTGCTAGTGACGTTCTATGCTGAGCATCTGGCCATTTTGCCTTGTACCTGAAGTGGAAAAACATTTGTCTGACTAGAATTATTCAGTCATTTTCCCTAATCTTTTCTTCTTTATAGCATCAATGATCTTCAGTTTTTTAGCAAAGCTGTCTTTGATAGTTAACATCTGTGTGGTCCTCATGTCTGAAAATTTCACGGGTCAGTGTCTCCTCCACTACGTGCTTGGTCCATTTTAACAGACCAGTTTTGCAGGCGACATAAATGATTAATGAATTTAGTGCGGTGAACTAGCAGCTAGTTTGGTGTTTCTGACCTAGGTGCTTTAAAACTCATTACTGGTACCTATTGAAGCTTTGCTAATGGATTTAAAATAGATTTCACTACTGTTAAAATGACTCTGCTCTTATGTGATCATGATTTTTCATGTTCCTTGTTTATGTGTTGTTACTTGACTTGCTAGGCACTATGAACAGATGCATATATTTTTTTAAAGTCAATTTACAAGCAGGGCGACAATTTACCAAGTTCCATTTAGAAAAGAAAGAAATTTTTATGAAGTTAAAGGTCTAAGTGATGGACATTTGACACAATATAGCACTTTTTAATATAGACTTTATGTGTTTAATATTACAAGTAAAGTCAGGTTTGTACTAAAATAGTGCCCAGAAATACTCCCTATAATGGACATTTCCTATTTGCTCAACAATTTCTTCTTTCATATAGTTGTGAGGGGGCTGGCAAACATGTTACTATGCCTCTCTCCTTCCATGGATGGAGCATCCTCTAGGCTGGCCAATCAAAAAAATGTCTTTCCCCCAAACACTGTGATTGGTTCAAGAATGATCATGTGACTCAAGCACAAGGCCAATCACTTTTTTAAAGGTTTTATATATGCACTAGTGACCCAGTGCATGGATTTGTGCACATTGAAAGGAAATTAATTAGATTTACAGTGGTCGCCAACTGGAGGTCCGTGGACCACTGATGGTCCCTGAGGTCCGAAAGGTTGGCGACCACTGAATTAGAAGGTGGCTGACTAGGCAAGATGGGACGAGCACACCCTGGAGCCAACCTCCTGTGGTCCCTCCCCAGCCAGCTGCACCTGGGGTGGCACTATGGCTCGAAAGGCATCCGTGGAGTGAGTTGGGTCCCTCCGACAGGTAGGGTCCTGGAGTGCGAGAGGGCACTCTGCAAAGTTGCTGTCGTACAGGGTATGGAACGCAAATGCAAGTGTGCAGTAAACCAGATTCAGGGCCAACAGTGCCCCAGCAGCAACATAACCCACGTCTGAAGGTGGAATCGCATGCCCTGTGAGGAATCGGGCTCCCTCCTCTCTGGTTCTGGGGTGCGTCACCCGAGAACCGCAGCTGCCAAGTCACTGCAGCTCAGCAGCTCCTGCGTTGAACGTCTGCCCCCTGGTGGTCAGTGCGCATCATATTGACCGATCGGACAGAGGGAGGGACACAGCATATTAGCCTTTTATATATATAAATAATGGAAGAGATTCTGTAGTGGAGTCTTCCTCTGTGATTATAAACAATAAAGGTGATGGAAACTGCAGCTGTCACAGACATCTTTCTTTCTCACATGGAGGAAGCCATTTGCTCTAGAAGGGAATGGGAATAACAGGAAGATGAGCACCTAATTTTAGCACATGAAGAAATAATACTTTATTACCAATCCTTTTTCTGGTGGATAGTATAAAATCTAGAATCTCCCCCACGTTCCTATATGACTCATGTATGCTCATTTAGACCTCAGTCTTTAAGGCTTTATTCACCTCTTAGCTTAGGAAGAACAGGGAATCTGATAGGCATCCCACCCAAACTGTATTTATAGTGAAGGAAAATTGGGGTTAACAGAAGAAAGAGTAATGAATTAGAAGGACCTGGAAGAAAACACACAAAAAAAGGGAAAAAGAAATTAAGTAAAGCCCTAAACAATAAACCACCAAATATGGATTGAAAACCAAATTGTAATCATGTTTGGTTGATGCTTAAAGAATTATAATGGGGGAAGATAGATGGTAGATAATATATTTAAAGACTTATATGTCTTGTGCTTTTAAATTTCAGGATTCCAGAAGAACTGATGGTATCAATAGCCAAGAATGTTATACTTATTCAGAGAAATTGGATGAATTAACCAAAGAGCCTCAAGTGAGTAATTGAAATTGCACATTGCAAATGGGAGATCATATGATCTACTCATATTCTTGACTGTGAAGTTATTTTGAAAATACAGTATTTATGGTAAGAACTTCTAAAGACTTTGTCACTTACAATGACAAAGTATGGTGAACAAAGTGATTCCCCAAAACACAGTGAAGGCAAATCTTTCTGATTATTGAAACTTAGAACAGAGCCTTATTTAAGGAAATCTTATTAACAGGAGGAAGCAACTAAATAGACAGGATCCAGAAAGAAAGAAACGCATAGGATTAGACCCGAGGAAAAGTGACTGTCATTTATAGTTACTAGGAAATAAAGGATTTCACAGAAGTCTGTCTAAATTGATGGAATTTTCCCTATTCAGTGATCAAATTCTTAAACAATGTTAACTATTTGGGAAGAAAAATATATTCACTGAATTATTACAATTGCATTCCTTCTTTCAAAGAACATATAAAATATAAAAACATTTTTGTAGTTAAAGTGGTTATTATGAATATGAATTATGGTCTTATATTAGAAAATAATGCCTAGTGGACTTTTAAGGTGTTTGGAAATGTTTACTGATCTAGATGTCTTTGCTTCCATAATTTTGGTGTCTGAATTTCTATCTATCTATCTATCTATCTATCTATCTATCTATCTATCTACTTTCTGTTTAGTTGCCATTTACCTCATTTTGGTGCCATTATTTGGTGCCATTTTATTTGCTAGGGAAGAGAGGACTTGTCTGTAAGCTGGAGTTAATGAGTGAAAGCTTAAAACCACTGTGTAGTAAAGTTCATTAGCTTCCTAAGGTGTGTTATTTTCCAGCTACTTTAGATTCTCAGCAAATCTAATTCATTCTCTGTCTCTTGTCTCTCATCTGTTGTCTCTCATCTCTCATCTCTCTCTGCTCTTACTCATCTTTGTGCTTCTCTCTGTGCCCTGCATACAAAAGCAGCCTCATGTTTGATGTCAAAATATATACTAGTGTGTGTGTGTGTGTGCACTGAACATACCCATAGTAAGCATACACTATAAAGAAGGGAAGGGGTTGTCAGTTTATTATTAAATAATGGAAAATTATAACCGTATTTACATACTTGATGTGGCTAAGAGAGTGAGAGTAAGAAAAAAATCAAGACAAAGACTTTAATAAAACATTTTAGAATGATGGCAGTAATAAAATTCAAATTCTGAAATTTCAACTATAAAAGGATTTCAATGTAAAGATTGAAAATGATTTGAAGAAATATTTGACCCACGCTATATTCTATGATAATTCCAAACTGCATGAACTAAGAGGTTTAGGCCATGAAATTTAAATGCCTTTGAGAAAAAAAAAAAAAGACTAATATAACTTATGCTCCTTAGAAAATGATCTTTAAATAATAATCATGAAAGGTTTAAAGCCAGGACCAATTTTGTTCATCTTTGTCTCTCATTCACACCTAGTCTAATTGCACATGGCAGATGCTCAAAAAAGGCTTATTAAAAGAACTAGAGGCCTGGTGCATGAATTCGTGCACCAGTGGGGGGTCCTTCGGCCTAGCCTGCAGGATTGGGCTGAAACCAGCTCTCCGATATCCTCTGAGGAGACTGGAATTGTGAGAGGGCACAGACTAGGCCAAGGGACCCCACTGGTGCATGATTGGGGCTGGGGAGGGATGCGGGAGGTTGGCCAGCCAGGAAGTGACCACGGGAGGGCTCCAGGGCGTGTCCGGCCCATCTTGCTCAGTCCAGATCAGCCAGACCCCAGCAGCAAGCTAACCTACCAGTCAGAGCGCCTGCCCCCTGGTGGTCAGTACACATCATAGCTATGCACTGATTGACCGGTCAACTGATGGTCAGTGCATGTCATAGCAACTGGTTGACCAGTCGACTGTCCACCAGTCAACTGACCAGTTGACCAGTGCACGTCATAGCAAGCAGTTAAGTGGCTTTAGCATATCATTAGCATATTATGCTTTGATTGGTTGAACAGCCGACCGGTTGACCGAACACTTAGCATATTAGGCTTTTATTATATAGAATGATTGTCAACCTTGCAAAAAAGTCAAAATGTGAAGGTGGCAGCCTGGGTCTATAGATGAACATATGCATAGGTATATTGATAAATGTATGGGGGGAAATCCTTCATTGGCTATTCAATCAGTTATAAATAAAATCACTTCATTCTTGCAAAGATATTTATTACTTTTAAGTTAAATGGATCAATAAGACAGTCTCTGCCTTGAAAAGTATTATAGTGCCTTTAAAGAAAGCAATATATATTACACCTAAGGCTGTTTATTTCTGCAATATTTGACAGTAGAACCATTTAAAATATCAAATAAAACTGAAATTCCTAAAATTTCATATTATTTTCACATTTATTATCTACTTTCATTTAAAATAGTTGCAGTTTGTAGACTCTAAAGTAGACAATTTTACTTCCTTCTAATTATTTTTTATTTTAAAAGAGCAAAATCTTCATAAAAGAAGCAAAATATGACTTGCCAATGGCTATAAAGTCAATTTGTGGTAAATTTAAAATAAAAAATATATATTTCAGGATTTTACATTCCAAATAAAACTTCTATTCTGCTTGCTAAATATACTTAGTTATTATGCTTGCTAAATTCACTTAGTCATTCATTAGGTGCACTGATACTTCCAGAGTATTCTTTAGTGATGAGGAATTTATGCTAAATTTCTTCCATTAACTCTGTACATTCTGATTTTGTGAATAACTTGGTTCAAAACCTTTAGCCCAATTAAATGTCTGAATACCAGGATAAGTCCACTGCTCAAAAGGTTTTGTTTTTAAAATAGCTTAGGCAAGAAGTACAAAAGGATACTTGTTTAGGATATATAGTTTGAAAAACTTTTATCAAAATGAATTAAATAAATCACATTTTGCATTGCCTGGAAACTAATAAATGAACAGATGACAGTTTTACCTTTCCAAAGTACCATGCATTTCCCAAATATAACATTAATCTAACCTGTAATCTCTTGTTCAATATTTATAGTCACTGCTAATCTCTAAACCCCACAAAAGCAAGGATGTATTAATACCATTTATTGCCTGATTTACAATGCTACAAAGAAGTGTCTGACACATAATGATAGTTAACCCAATAAATATTGTTGAATGGAACAAAATTGAAGAAGTGAAGCAGTATGAAAATCCTTCCAATCATTTTGAAAACTATAATGAGGAATTACTACAAGTGAAGGAAATTAAAACTACACCAAAAAAAATTAGCTAAAATCCTTGATAATATTTTATATATGTGTTATGTATGTACATACACAGATATTGACATACACATGTGTATGCATGTGTATATTTTGTCATAGAATTTGTAATGTAATAATAATAATAGCAATAATAAATAATATAGATAGACATTTGAGTACTTACTACATGCCAGAAACTATGTGTTTTACTCATATTAATTTATTTTTCACAACTGCCTTACTAGATAAGTACATTTTATCCTTATTTCATGGAGAAGGAAACAGTACTTATTTTATAAGTATTATAAAATAAATGGAAAGCAATGTCACCCTTACAGTTTCTCATATGACTATAAGAAAGAAAGAAAGAGTGGGAGTGGGGGAGAAAAAGAGGGTAGGAGTGTTGCAGGAAAGATAAATTAATTTAACTAACTAATTATGTACTCGAAAGTGTGCATAGATTGGAAATAATGATAGGGAATGAAGGAGAGGAACCCTAGAAATAACTAGCATTTATAGAGCTCTACTATGCTTCCCGAGATCAAGGCTTGATTTCTACAAGATATTCTTTACTATTTGCTCTTTAAAAGAAAAAAAAAAACATATA